AAAGAGTGGGAACCCTGACAGTGTAGTTTCCCCTTTAACATTATAGACCAGTATGTGGAGATGTGGAAATAATTCTGCTTAAAATACACAAGAAAAGTTAAATGAAAAGTAATGAAGTAGATGTCATTTGTATTTTAAATACAAATGTGTTGTGTTTTTACAGGTACAACAAACGCATCAATGACATCAGAGAGTGCAAAGAACAGGCCCTGTCCCATGCGTAAGTACATAAATATATATTTTTTTTCCCAGTTCTTCCTGCTTTTATATTGCACACAAAATTTACTTTCACATAAATTCTTTTCTTTTGACAATTATAATAATAATTATTATGTCCCTGTCTCCTCACATCTCTCCCTACCCTTTATCACTTAGACCTTTTACCTCAAGGATTTTTTTTTTTTGTCTTCATCCTTGATTGCCTTTATTATGTGCTCTGTACATTTACTACCTGCGTGTGTCATGTCCCGCAGAGGCTCCATGCACAGAGAGAGACGCAAGTTCCTCAGATCTGCTCTGAAGGAGTTGGCTACGGTTTTAGCTAGCCTGGGCTGCTGGGTCCTAAGGTATTTGCAAATGCCCTTTTTTTTTTTTTTTTTTAACAGCCTAAGAAACAAAAACTAACCTATTTATGTTAACTGGGTGTTGTATTTTTAAACTGGAAAAAAAAATGGTGAATATGCATAGCCTTTGGCTATAAAAGGAACTGGTTTCTGTTAGATAGGTTTACTTAGAATCCAATGCAAATGTTTCATAATATTAGGCTTGTGTAGAACACGGGGGTGTCAAACATACGGCCTGCGGGCCAAAACCGGCGCGCTTGGTGAATTTAAAAAAAAAAAAAATAATAAACAAACACTTAATGTTCAAGAAATGTTTGTAAAACTGTATTTCGCTAAATATGAAGATGTATCTAATGTATATTTTGCATGAAAACAAAGGGCGGTCCAGGGGGCCACATACAGCCTGATTAGATGTCAAGTGGGCCGGACCAGTACAGTCATAACATATATAACAATAAATTCATGTTTTTCTCCTTTGTACAAGTTTATTAGAAACATTTTCATATTTATATATAATTTGACCAAACATCACAAACATAAAATGTTTATGCATTTTTCACTTTCAAAATTCATCAAGCGGCCCGGATTGACCCCCCCCAGTGGGTCGGTTTTGGCCCGCATGCTGTATGTTTGACACCCCTGCACTAAAGGATAAATGATGTTTTTCTTTTTATATTTATTTATTACAAAAAGTCCTTAAGTAGAAGTGAAGAAGCCTTGGTGCAACATAATGTCATGAATGTTTTGTTTATGTTTTCTCTTTTTTTCTATTTCTCAGGCTTTGTTTGTGTTCATGGCTCTGTCGTTCGCCCGCGATGAGATAATATGGCTGCTTCGACACGCCGACAACATCCAGAAGAAAAGCACTGATGATTTCATAGACAAGTGTGTTCCCTTTCACAGTTACAGAACACGTTTGCACCTACGGCTTGTGTTGTGATAACCCTGACGGCGCGTTGGTGTTTTTCCAGACACATAGCCGAGTTGATCTTCTACATGGAGGAGCTCCGAGCTCACGTTAGGAAGTACGGCCCTGTGATGCAGCGTTACTATGTGCAATACCTGTCTGGCTTTGATGCTGTGGTGCTGAATGAACTTGTGCAGGTAAACACAAACGTGCAATTTCTTTGCGTTGTTCCCGATGCCTCTAGAACGAACAAACCATTTTACAGTCTCAACCATTTGTTTCACAAATAAAGTAAAATAAAAGTACTTTAGAAACGTTTCAACAAATAACTTCTGTAATGTACTGTCAAATAATAATTTTAATCATCAACGTGAACAGAAGGCTTCAAATTGCGGAGATTAGCACCGCCCACCGTGAACGGGAGAAAATTAAAAATGATTATGAAAAAAATACAAATTACCTGGTCTTGTTGCGGGCAGTTGCAACCCTTTTTGAATCCTTATTAAAACTTATTGCTGCTGTCTTCCTTATGTTTTTTTCTTCCTTCTTTATGGAACGAACGGAAGATTCATTAATTCCATAATGCCGACCTACAGCCGCATAGCTTTTACCTTCATTTAGCATGTCCAATAGTTTTACTTTATCACCGATAGACAGCATCTTCCGCTGCCTTTTGGTCCCTACCGCAGGTACTTTTGCCGGTCCAGAGCGTTTTGTCGACATTATGGGGTTTGATAAACTCGAAATTGCAAGAGAATTTGCACGTACGTAATGTCAATTTGGCAAGCTGTTTTACGTACGTGTACATATTAAACCGCAACGTTATTGGCGCACAGGTAGAGAAGAAGCGGAGTGACTTTTTAGCCAATCAGAATGCAGAACACAATGCACGATGCAAATCCGTGAAGTAGCGAAACCGTGAAAAGTAAACCGCGTTATAGCAAGGGATCACTGTATATCCATTTCAAATTTGGTTCTTGTTTTATAAAATGTGCATCCGCAAGTGTAGCAAACGTGAGACTGTACACACATCCTGACAGAGAGGCTGATGTAGTTCCCTGTCTTTCCATGTAGAGTAGTAGTTCTTATTAAGAGTTTTCTGACACCACTCGTCATTGTACCTTTTTTTTTGTAAGAATAAAAAAAAAAAACGTAACTTTTTTTTTAACTTTGCAACAGAACCTGTCTGTCTGTCCGGAGGACGAGTCTATCATCATGTCTTCATTTGTCAACACAATGACCTCGCTCAGCGTCAAACAGGGTGAACCATTATTTCTTTTATTAACTATGAAGGCGTCAAGTTCTAAAAAAATATGATTTGGAGGTTTATTTTAAATGATAGAGATAGGACATTTGAAAGTAACTGTATGCAACTTCTCAGAAGCTCAAGTAGTATCAGTGTATAGGTTTTTAAGGATTAGGTGTGTGTGTGTGTGTTACTGAGGAACTGTTGTGTTTTTGTGTTGCAGTGGAAGATGGAGAGGTGTTTGACTTCAGGGGCATGAGGTTGGACTGGTTCAGGCTGCAGGTAGGAAGACAACTCTGCTAATCTGATATGGTCCAAAAAACATACCTCGATATTTTACTAGTAAATCTCCCTACAATATGTGTCTCAATAATTTTCCCTTGGAAATCAAAAGAAAGCAAAGCCACACTTTTTAAATCACACGCGGAGTTTTAAAATTTTTTTTCCACAAACAAACCAACACACAAATTCATTAAAAATAATCCAAACAAACAAAGTGTTTCCTGTAAATAACTGTCACTTTAACTCTATTTAATATCACTGTATAATCCAGTGGTTCCCAATGGTTTTTGTGTCTCAATAATTTTCCCTTGGAAATGGTATCAAAAGAAAGCAAAGCCACATTTTTAAAATCACACGCGGATTTTTAAAAAAAAAAAAAATTTTTCCCACAAACAAACCAACACACAAATTCATTAAAAATAATCCAAACAAACAAAGTGTTTCCTGTAAATAACTGTCACTTTAACTCTATTTAATATCACTGTATAATCCAGTGGTTCCCAATGGTTTTTTGGCGATGACATCACAAATTTCTGCTGACCCCAGACACTTTTTTTTTCCCCCCCCGCAGTCGCGCGAACACAGCTGTCAATCAAGATGTGCCGTATGCTGGATTTTAAATCAGTAAATCAGTGTTTTAAATCAGAATTTAAATAATATTTGGTTATAAAAAAATTTGTTAGAGTACTTTTTTTTTTTTTTTAACGATTACGAGACATTTCAGGCGACTCTATTAAAATTCCAGACGACCCCATGGTTGGAAAACACTATTATAACCCCTAAATTATTAATGCTATGAATATGATTATTATGAGAGCCATACATAGTTGAGAGGAGTCGAATTTTAAGTGGTTTTATGTTAACAAATATATCAACAAATATCCCTCACTGCAAGCGGTGTGGCCAGAGCGAGTACTTTTAGGCCAAGAGTCACATGTATGAATTCAAAAAATATATTATCATTCTATATCTTGTGTGCAAACATACTAACATATCGCCCAGCCCTAAACCTGCATATTTTAACCCTGCATTACAGAAGATGAGGTTTACATGGCTGAGACGTCATTAGCTGTTTTTTTTTTTTTTTTCTCTCTCCTCAGGCCTACACCAGTGTTTCCAAAGCCAGTCTTGGCATCGCCGATCACAAAGAGCTTGGAAAAATGATGAACACCATCATTTTTCACACAAAAATGGTGGATTCTCTGGTGGACATGCTGGTGGAGACATCCGACCTGTCCATTTTCTGGTGAGACACGTGTGCAATATAGATGAAAAGTCTTGAAAAAGACCCACATACAACCTAATTAAATGTGGGCTGCACCAGTAGAGCACAACACAATTACCTATAAATAACAATAACAAGTTCATGTTTGTACCCTTTGTTTTTCATACAGAAGTAAAAGTGTGATAGAGAGCACAACACAATTACCTATAAATAAGAATAACAAGTTCATGTTTTTCATACAGAAGTAAAAGTGTGTTAAATGTCTATTATTAATAATCATTTTATATTTAATGAAATCTTGAGGTGTTTGTGTATTTTTTTTTGTATTCAAAAAATTCATCAAGCGGGCCCAATTAAACATCTTAGCGGGCCTGTTTTTGGCCCGCAGGCCTTATGTTTGCCACCCCTGCTCTATGCATTTTTACAAATCCGCTTGTCCGTAGCATTGTTTAATTGTTCTTTTCTCCTGGTCACGTGTGTGTGTGTGTGTCTTGTAAACGAAGCTTCTACAGCCGAGCGTTTGAAAAGATGTTTCAGCAGTGTTTGGAGCTACCTTCTCAGAGTCGACACTCCATCTGCTTCCCCCTGCTTTGCACACACTTTATGTCCTGTACACACGAGCTCTGTCCCGAGGAGGTAAATGCAAAAATGACATGGTCACGGTCACCCTGAATGCCCTCCACTTTCAACATTGACAGCCAAATTCCTTATTCACGACATCTGTCGTTTTGTGCTTTCCTCTGCAGCGTCACCACATTGGGGACCGAAGCCTGTCGTTGTGTAACATGTTTCTGGATGAGATGGCCAAACAGGCCAGAAATCTGATCACTGACATCTGCACGGAACAGTGTACCCTCAGCGACCAGGTAAAATCCAAGCTGAGAAAAACTCAAATAAAATATAACTATTTCTATTAAGGTCGATGGGATTTAATTTTCTCAAATTTTAACGCTTTTATTTAGTTAAATTTACCAAAATAGAGAAACATGTCCCCAGTATACACCATGTTACGTATTGAGTCTTCTGATTTTTTTTTTCTGTCATCAGTTGCTAGGCAACCACACAGTGCTGACTTACTTTCAGTACTAATCAAAGTGATATTGATCAGAGTGAGTGAAGTACCACTCTAAGATGGCAGTCTGTGACCTGTACCAATATTTGTATTTGTCTGCACAAATATATATCACAGGTAGAATAAAAAAAGTGAAAATGCTAATGGTATTATTTGCTATTATATATTATATAATATATAATATTATATAATATATAATTATATATATATATTATATTATATATATATTAATATTATATATATATTATATAATATATATTATATTATTATAGTATTAAAATGCTATTATTTACTTTTATATTTAGAAAAAAGTGTGTGTAAAAATGACAATGTACAATATTTATATAGTCCTACATTGCTTTTTGTGCTTTCAGTATTATTAATAATACTTTTATACTACCAATACGAGTAATTATACTTTCAAGAAGCAGGCATTAAAAAAAGTGTTTGTAGTAAATGTGAATACTTTCAAAAATATTTGAACAGTAATGTATTTATGCGATTATTAACATGACATCAACTCAGTGTACAGTGTCATATACAGTATTTTTAATGGAATGAAAAGATAAAATGGGAAAAGATCAGAAGCAGATGTATAACAGTAGTACTCAAGCGCAGTTGTACTTGATTCATATTTTGAGTCACGACAAAAGTACTAGATAAGCGGCGTCAAACTCAGGCACAGAATGGGCAGAAAATGAAAACACGGTCTAAGTTCAGTGCCAAACTGGAACTTTTTCCTCATAAGCAAATAAAAAATGGCCGCCCATATATTATACACATGCGTCTAACCGCTCCATTCAGCATTAGTATTGATTATATACAATAGAGCTTTGTTAAAAACAACCGCAGATGGGGCAAGATTTGACCCGCGAGCCTTGAGTTTGACATTAATTTTCCTCATCACTTCGATGCATCTCCTAACTTTGTTTCTGTGCCTCTGTCTACTTTACTGCTTCAACTGTTTTTTTTTTTGTTTTGTTTTTTTTTGCTTTAGCTGCTCCCAAAACACTGCGCCAAAACCATCAGCCAGGCCGTGAACAAAAAGAGCAAGAAGGCGACCGGCAAGAAGGGAGAGCCAGAGAGAGAGAAGCCGGGAGTGGAGAGTATGAGGAAAAACCGGCTGTTAGTCACAAAGTGAGTTACCCAGACTAAACATTCCATTCTTGGAAACAAACAAACAAAAAAAAAAGCTAATATCCCTCAGATGTTTTTACTAGTTTTCCTGCAGACCAGAAAATGCTCATCCTGTTTTTATCATTTTCCCTTTTTCAGCCTGGACAAACTTCATACAGCTTTGTCCGAACTCTGCTTCTCCATTAACTACATTCCTAACTTGATGGTGTGGGAACACACATTCACCCCAAGGGAGTACCTCACGTCACACCTGGAGATCCGCTTCACAAAGTAAATCAATTTATTAAACTCTTTAAAGTCACCCTTTTCGTGTAATTTTATTAACAACATGTGAACAAAACATAGTAGCTTTTAGATATTTTTTTAAAGCACTTTAGGTATTTCATTTATAGGCTAAAAAGTTCACTAAAGGCTAATTCATAATAAATGAAAATATTTCTAAGTCGGGCTATGTTTATTTTTCAGCAGTGGTCCCCAACCTTTTTTGTATCAAGAACCAATCAGCCGGTATCAGTTGAAGGGTCATTAAATTTTCAAAAAAAAAAACATCTTTTAGACTTGTTGTTTTGCAACATTCACAGATTATCTTTGAATAAAGGAAGTAGAGAAATATGACTGTTAATAATAAAAATATTAAGTAAATTAGTGAAGTACATTTTTTCACTATGTCCCGGTACCAAATGACCTGCGGATCGGGGATCGAGGACCGCTGTTTTGTAGCACTAATTAACAAATCACATTTATCCTTAAAGGACTTGACCGTTTTGACTTAAAATGTACCTATGAAATAATTCAGGACTGATTTTATTCAAAATTGTGTTGAAATTATATAAACAAAATGAAGTGGAGCATGCAGTGTTTAATTATTTGTATAAGATCCGCAATAAATCACAAACTTAGCAAGAACTCAGGCAACAGTGGGGAGAGAAAGAATCATTTTCCAAAAGTCTAGACTCTGTGTTCGGAAATAATTTGCTATTGAAATTAGTCATTAATTTACAGTTTCTGATACTTGTTGATAAGCAGTTCTCGTCTTTCTCTCTTTCTTCCTCTCTTTCTTTCTCTCTCTCTCTCTCTCTCTCTCTCCCTCTCTCCCCCTCCCTCTCCCCCCTCCTCCCTCTCTCTCCCCCCCCCCCCCCCTCTCCCTCTCTCTCTCTCTCTCTCTGTCTCTCTGTCTCTCTCTCTCTCTCTCTCCAGGTCCATTGTGGGGATGACCATGTATAACCAGGCTACTCAGGAGATAGCCAAGCCCAGTGAATTACTGACCAGTGTGCGCGCCTACATGACGGTGCTGCAGTCCATAGAGAACTACGTCACCATTGACATCACACGGGTCTTCAACAATGTCCTCCTACAGCAGACGCAGCACCTGGACAGCCACGGAGAACCCACCATCACCAGTCTGTACACCAACTGGTATGTTCTCACTGTCGACAACAACAACAATTTGTCCTGAAGCCGGAAATACTGCAAATTTGGGGCTTTTTGCGAAATGTTTTAAATAACGAAATTTCACTTTTTGTCAACGTTTCTTTCTCTGATTTCAAGATTTTAAGTGTGATCTCGCTGACATCAGATAATTACAAAGTGCATACAAACATCTAGTTATTTTTGCCGATAAATAAATACATGAACAGGAGGTCCTCGAGTTCCGGTTTCTACGTTGTAGCGTAACTTGAATTTGCCGTAAGTCTGAACTCACATGCTGTACATAAATACCCATGTTACTCACCTACACTAACACACTGGTGACATCGTGATCTAGGACATGAAAACACCAGAAAAGTCTGACTTGAAAAAAAAAATTTTGAAAGAATGGGAATGTAGCACAATTTGAGCACAAATTCGTCTGTTCCGCTTGCGGAACTAGCCAGCAAGACTTCATAATTAAATTTATGGAGGATGGTGATGTAACCGCGAGACACCGTAGGTCGAGGACCTCTCTTTTTTTTTTAACTTAATTTTAAATAAAATTTTCTTTTCTTTCCCCTTGTTCTTAGGGTCTTTTGCAAATCCTGTTTCATAATTTACTCCTTAAATGTCTACTTTCTGAACAGCGGGGATCCTGTCACTCAGTGTTTGAACTTAAAAATGTGGACGCACGACGTGGCTGTTTCCTTTTCAATACTTCTTTTCATATTGATAACTCGATAATTAGAGTCCGTGTCTGAAAACAGTCCTTGACGAAGACACGGTTTTCTTACTGAAGGAAGTACAAAAGCCCGTCAGTCACTCAGAGAGAATTCTGTCTGTGCAGGTACTTGGAGACGTTGCTCCGTCAGGTCAGTAATGGACACATTGCCTACTTTCCTGCGATGAAGGCCTTTGTCAACCTGCCCACCGAGAACGAACTGACATTCAACGCAGAGGAGTACTCCGACATCTCCGGTACGAGAACCTTTCTTTTTACCTTAAGAAGAAATAGACGATCGACGTATAATTAATCATGATGATGCTGGATTTAGTTTTTGTTTAAAAACGACTAAATGTCTGAGTTGTACCAAACTACTCAGTTATCAGGCACATTGGAATCAAGCAGCGCAAAGGACAAAAAAAAAAAAGACGTCGACTCGCATTGACCGATCTTTCTCCTTTGACAGAGATGCGATCGCTGTCGGAGCTGTTAGGACCGTATGGGATGAAATTCCTCAGCGAGAGTCTGATGTGGCACATCTCGTCACAAGTTGCAGAGTTAAAGGTACACGCTGTGAAACCTCAACCGCGGAACCAAGTGGTGGTAAATTAGACGTGTTGATGTTTAAGCCAATGAGGATTTGTCTGCTCTGTTTGTCTCCTTCTTCTAGAAACTCGTGGTGGAAAACATGGAGGTTCTGAACCAGATGAGAACGAGCTTCGACAAACCTGAACACATGGCTGCGCTCTTCAAGAAACTTACATGTAAAGTCACACTTTAGTCGCACTCGCCATTTGTTGCCAAGCACTTCACTTCAGAGTAGTGGTGTAGACCAAATGTTATAGACTAGAAGTCATCAACTATATATTATACAGTGGACGGCCTCGATACGAGATTCCTGAAATACTCCATGTATTCCGTGTTACAACTGAGTCTGCAACTGTTGCAAGATTTTGCTCCTGATACAAGGAAATATTTAGTTGCGAGTGCTCAACCAGAAATTCGACGTTCCGTTCCGTCATTCCGTCGCCGTCTTACTCACTGTCCTTGCTTGGCTATTTTACCCATTTTTATAACAATAATATAAAACAATTTTTTAATTATTATTATTTTATATTATCAATATATTTGTTTTTATTGATGTTTTTGATGTTTAGATGGGGGAAAAATATATAATAAGTACATTTCTCGAGGGCTGGAACGAATGTGTTTAGATGGGGGAAAAATATATAATATAAGTACATTTCTGGAGGGCTGCAACGAATGTATTGGTTTTTAGTTTTTTATTTTTAATGGGGAAAATTCAATCGAGACACGAGTGCTGTTGTGGAACGGATTAACCTCGTATCTAGGAGTCCACTGTATATTATATAATATATTTATAATATTTAGGGAGCCAAATGAAATAAATATTATATTTATTATTATTTGGGATTCCAGTCATTTGCCGAACTAGGATTTAGCCCACGGCTTCAAGTTTTGCTAATCACCGTTGTAGACTCTAATCTGCATTGATGCTTTGAACATCTTATTGACATCAAAGCCTTTAATTCATGAAAAATGAACGTTAAAAGTTGAAGAAAAAAAGAATAAACATTGAGACAGCTGTGACTTCTGGAAGCATCTCTGATTCAGGGTTTCTTTGTTTTTATTCATCTCTGCAGCTGTGGACAGCGTTTTGAAGAGAATGACTATAATTGGAGTCATCTTGTCTTTCCGCTCTCTCGCTCAAGAGGCTCTGCGAGATGTAAGACTTACGCACACACAACCACACACACATATTTTTTTTTAATCAAAAGTGTCAGTAACAGTGGAGATGATTTTAGATAACGGTGTTTTAAAAACACACCGAAAAACGTGACAAACAAAACACACGTTTTCGAATGCTGTGAACTTGTCGTTGTGTTTTCCGAATATATTTTGTGTCGTTTTGAATCTGAAAATATTAGTTCTTTTCATTGTAGAGTGTAGTGAAAAGCAGGCTTGATTACAAGTTGAAATAAAAAGCGTCATATAATGGTACAAACTTACAATTCAACCAATGTTGCAAATCTTTGTCTTTGCTTAGGTTTTATCCTGTCACATTCCTTTTCTGGTCAGTTCAGTAGAAGATTTCAAGGACCACATTCCCCGTGAGACGGACATGAAGGTGACGCACATTTCTGTCTGGTTTGTCGTTATGGCCGTGTTCCGTCCCCTCTTGGTTGTTAACGTGAGAACTTTGTCACAAGGTGGCCATGAACGTCTACGAGCTGTCATCAGCGGCAGGTTTACCCTGTGAGATCGACCCAGCACTGGTCGTGGCTCTGTCCTCCCAGAAAAGTGGTGAGACGCCGAGAATCACAGAGAACTGAAATCATCCCATGCCATGTGCTGTCGACGTGTGACATCTCTGATGTTCCTTCCGCAGAGAACATCAGTCCGGAGGAGGAGTACAAGATCGCCTGCCTTCTGATGGTGTTCGTAGCTGTTTCACTGCCAACACTGGCTAGCAACGTCATGTCCCAGTACAGCCCCGCCATCGAAGGTAGGGTGTAGTGTCCCGACCTGTCTCCACCTGTGTCGAATTTAGATTGAAAGAGCAAAAAAGCACTTGCAGGGTTTTTCAAATCGGGTGAATGTGAGCCTCCCCCTTTGGCCCCCCCTTCTCCAAAATCCTGCCCACCTGCCCGAACCCACACACGCCTCTGCAGTAAATGCATCTTCTGTGTGCTCCTGGCAATGCTGAGTTTCAATAACAACTGATAAGAATGCATTTGAAAAGGATTTGATTTTCACAACTTTTTAAAAAGGGCATTGGTTACTCTTTGGCGCCCTCCAGTGGAGGCGCTCCTCAGGCAATTGAAAACCGCTGAAATAGAGCATCTTTTAGTAACATCAGGAAGTCACGGTGTGATTGATTGAGCCCTCATGTATAGTCGAGCAACTCAAGAGACATTACTATTGCTGTGTGATAAGTAGGAATGGCTCAGGATCGGTATCGGTCCGATATTGGTCAGAATTTTGGGATTGAACATCGGTAAAATAAACTATAACCGTCTCATCCAATACCTAAGCCCAAATGCTCAACTTAACTTGGCGTGTCATGCCTTCAACACAGACACTATTGCCTCAGCGAAGGGATCGGACTTATATCAGTATCGACAGATACCCCTAGTTTGGATGTGTATAAGTTTTGTCTTTACTTCCTGTTATTGTTTTTTTTTTTTAGTCAAGAGATTAACACAGCTGTATAAAACAAGTCCATTCAGTGTCTCACAGACATTGTTGGAGTTAAACAGGTATCGCTCAGCGGTGACGTTTGTCACTTGGCACCCAATTATCATCGCGTTCGCTCCTAACAGGCTTGAAATGAAAAGCGCTGCTTCCATAAAGAGGGAGTGAGAAGGACGATTAGCTCTAATAGGATTCCAAAATTAGAGCTGTCAGTGGGCAGCGTTTTTTTTTTTACAAACGTGAAATCGGTAAATACCACGTCCTCGTCAGAAAGGCAACTGACACGGAAGCCTCGGTTGTCCGTTTCAACAGACAGTATTGTGAAAACTAACATGCGTTCTGTCAGTTTCTTTTAGCTTCCTGCTGTTTTTTTTTCTCTCCTTTCATATTACCACTGAACCTACAGTATAATCGATAGTCAACATTTTTTGTTGTTTGATTAGCAGCAAAAAATCAAAGGGAGGCTTTATCTGACAGTAGTGAGACCTGCTATGAGGTATGGTTCAGAGACAGTGATTTTCACTGGGAGTGGGTCAGAGGAACTGAAAGGGCCTTGAAGTACCATGGTAGCTGTTTATCAAAATTTCCTAACGTTAGTATATGAACGATTTAATCAAAACAAATCAAACACATTGTGCCTTTAACCACAAAACAGGTTTAATGACGTCACGTGTCGTGTATTCCCTACAGGTCACTGTAACAACATCCACTGCCTGGCCAAGGCCATCAACCAGATCGCAGCTGCTCTCTTCACCATCCACAAAGGAAGCATAGAGGATCGACTCAAGGAGTTCCTCGCTGTAATACAGATATTCTTGAATTCTATACACATAATAATCTACGCGCCTGTGAATGTTTAGCGAGTAGAAGTGGGCCACTCAATGTATCCCCACAATTCATAAAAGCGAAATCTGGTGTTCAACCGATGATCACTTACCCAAGTCCCAGCATGCATTGCAGTCACAATAACAGTAATGACGTAATTAACTCAGACACCAAAGTAGTGTCAGAAACTGTTCTTTATTTAACCAGTGAGTCCACTAAATAGTGCACTATACACAATTCCTTGCCCACATATACAGATATATTACATATATATTTATCACGACTTTTTGCTTCCACCATGTGGAAAAAGTAAATAATTTCAAACCATTTAATTAAAAATTAAAAATGTTTGAATTAAATCATCTCTCTCTCTCTCTCTCTCTTTCTCTCTCTCTGGCCGTGTGTGTGTGTGTGAAGCTTGCCTCATCGAGCCTGTTAAAGATTGGTCAGGAAACGGACAAGATGACAACACGTAACAGAGAGTCTGTCTACCTGCTGCTGGACATGGTAGGAAATAAACTTTACACTTCATACACTCTAGCTCTCTCTCCCTCTTTCTCTCTCTCTCTCTCTCTCTTTCTATCTTTCTTTCTTTTTCTACCTCTCTCTCCCCCTCCATCCCAGCTCTTAGTGATGTAGTTTGATCTGATCCAGACACCTGTGTCAAACTCTGGTCTGGGGTCCAAATCTGGCCCAGAGTGTAATTTTATTTGGCCCGTGAGATCATATCAAATGTGCATTAGAGTTGGTGCGCCAGTATATACCCCTATATACTGTCAGAATTTGTAGTATTAGTGGTGCATGCACATACTTTTCTTTTTTTTTTTTTTTTTTTTGCCTGTGAAAAATGATAAAAAAGAATATAGATAAAGTGACATAATAAGAAACAAATACCACTAATATGTGTGTTTAATTTCAAATGTAATTTCTCATGTGTTTATAATGTTCAGCTTTGGTTGCTCCAGATTCAATGTTAACGCAAAACTAAAGTTTGTTTTCATATGAAAAAAAATGTTACTTCGTCACAATTTTTAAATTTGGAGTTTGACACCACTGGTGTACAGGTTTTGGGAAAAACTAGATTTTAAGTGTATTGTGTGTCGTGTGCTACATCGGCCCGACATTCCTACCACCTAACCGTGTGCATGTGTGTCAGATTGTGCAGGAGTCCCCCTTCCTGACCATGGACCTGCTGGAGTCCTGTTTCCCCTACGTCCTGCTGCGAAACGCCTACCACGCTGTCTACAAACAGAGCATCAGCGCTAACGCGTAGAGGAGCGGCGGCCACACGGGCCCAGGCCTTCCACACTGTCCGACCTTCGGAGCGCCGTGGCGCTCACAATCACAACAGTCACACACACACTAGACACACTAGACACGAGATTTTACACTAAAACAAGCTAAACATGCCGAGCTACGACCCTAACGTTCCACCCTGACACCGGGAACACCACACTGCTGGTAACGTAACGTAACGATGTAAACTTGTAAACATACACTAGTATTTAATTACAACAGTCCACTATTGACATACAACAAACACTACCCACTACTACCCACAATTCCTTGCACAAAGCAGACAAAACGGCTACGAGTAGCAACATTAACACATCAGCTGGATGAAGTTGAGGATCACAGGCTTTTTCTAATCATTGTGCTTTTTTTTTTTTTTTTTTTTTTTCTCTGAAGTTTCCAGGGACCATAAACATCACCACACATTTGTCTGTTTGGAATAAATGAACAAAATATAAATATATATAGTTAACACTTAAATATTCAGAAGTTTTTTTTAATTATTATTATTATTATTATTATTATTCTTGTTGAGCTGGTTTTGGATTTTGTAGTCATTTAATGACTTTAAAGTGGTGATGGTTTGGATGCTTTTGGAATGCTAACATTTCTGATGTAACGTGTTTTTTTTTTTCCTTTTTCTGACTTTTATTGTGGAGGGGTTGGCTAACGATAAATGAGCTGTTAATGCTGAAAAACACGCTGTGGTGGTGTGTGCCGTTTACACACAGAGACATTAAAGATATACAGCATACGGCCGTCATTGGAACAGATTTAAACACTAACACATGAAACATTTCGTAGTCGACACACATGCATACACGGAATTGACCAACATGGTGATGTTTTTCTTTTTCCATTTTTTTTTCCTTTCCCCTAGATAGTTGTAACAAACTTTGTGGTAAAATATATAATATCTGTATTCTACTTTACTGTAAACTGAACTCGTCTGTCTTTTTAATGTTTGCGTTTTCTTTCTTTTTTTTTATTACATTACTGACAATTTGCCAAATGTGTTGACACTAAAGCTGTGTATCAGGGGGCATGAGAGTGTCGGAGTGGAAATGACAAATGATGCCATGTTGTAAATGTTCGTTTGACTTCAGACACAGCAGTGAGCCTCTGCAGCTGCTGTTGAATGAGTGCAGATCAATGGCAATTAGGAGCGGGACTAGAACGCCTACTCCGCACATTGGCAAGTATTATAGTCCAATTGATTCCCTTCATTTTCCACCCTTCATCAACATGGAGACGTAAAAAAAAAGCGAGTTAGCCTCCAGGGGGCGATAAGGATGCTCACACAGTAACGTTATTGTATTCAAGCTAGGGATGTCCGATATTAAGTTTTTGCCGATATCCGATATGCCGATATGATAACACTTAATTTCCGATTCCGATATCAATTGATGCCGACATGGACACATTTCATTGGTCACTTCATCTAGGCGAAACCCAGGCATATCGGGTTTTCATTTTTGGAGGAAAAACCGATCTTACCCATATTACGTAATTAAGCTAGTATCGGTTGGCCGATATTATCGGACATCCCTGGTTCAAACCTCTTAACAGCCCAAGGAAAAACTAATTGAACCCTGTGTTTTATGTTTTACCCCGACACAGGTCTGAGACAGTTAACACTGCACTCAGTTCTTCACTATAACGGTGGTTACCACAGGTACCTCGATTCAGACAGTAACACGTCTTACCACGAGGTTCGTCCTTACCATTGTAGTGAAACAAATAGGCTGTCAGAAAAGTGTTGCTTTCAGGTGAGTCATGTTAACTCCCCACAATGGCACCGAACAAGACGTAAAAAAAACATCACTTTGGTTTAAAGCAAAACTGACAGCAAACACGGCAAGTCCAGTCAGTATTTTCTGATGTCTGAATTAAATATTAAAACCTAATCTCTGTGTTTCCTTCAATGTAGAGTCCTAACCAGATTTGATCTGCGCTGAACCCCCTTACTGGCCTTTAAAACAGACCTGCTCAGACGGCAGAAGTAGGAGAAACAGTTGTTCATATGTAAATATTGTTAAAGGTTAGCTGTTAGCGATGACAGTTAGAGATGAAATACGAAATTTACCAGGAGCAGGAAACTGACGTGACGGCCGCTGCACGATGTCAAACAGAATAATACAGACCCTCGGTGTGATGAAACAAGCACAAATGTTTTTTTCTTTTCTTTTGAGTTTCATAACCTACACTCCACAGGTGTAAAAAAAAAAACATCTGGCAGTGGCATTGAGGTTCAGAAGGACTTTCTGAAAAAAAAAAAAAAACCAAACATCTGGCAGTGACATTGAGGTTCAGAATGACTTTCTGGTATATTCAGGATTAACAAACAGACACATCTTCGATCTCCAATAGTAAAAGAAAAATTAAATAATTCTCGTAACGATGCCGTTTTATTTTGTTTCCTTCTGCACTTTTATGAGGTGTTCAAACAAACAGTGCTCTCTTCACACTGGGCCATTTGCGAATGTCGAGCTAACAGCTGGCTTCTCTCTGAAGGCGTGCACTGTTACGCTGAGGCCTTGGCACCTCTCTCTGCCTGAGACAGTCTGAAAGGCATCAGCATCATCGGCCTGTAAGAACAACTCTATGATGACATTCCGCCATTTGGTTCAGAATACTGTTTCCTTTTTCCCCCCCGCCTTTCTTAACCTTTTATTTGTGTTTTGTTTCCACTGTGTAACTTAATTAACATGAATAAATAAAGTTTAGGAATGTGTCAGAGATGAGCTGTGACAAAGTCTCCAGCTTCTTGTCTGGACCAAGAGGAGACGAGGTGGTGAGTGGCAGAATTGTTGCATTAAACACAACTTAAAATAGATTTTGATTATCGTAATTGATGATTAGACAGCAGAGTGAGGCCAAGTTAAAACCTTCACCTTCTAACCCTATCTCTCCAAAATATCCAAAAAAAAAAAAAATTTCAATCTTTTTTTTTTTTTTTTTCAGGGCAAGGTTTTGATCCACCCTGCTGTGTTGCGCTCAGGCCAGCAGGGGTCTCCCGCAGCAAAACGAAATGAAATGAAAATGGCTCAATATTCTAGCCCATTAACAATATACCAATATTTATTGTTTGAAAAACAAATGCTTGCGACATTTATCAAATCGGTGATAAGGGTACAAAAAGATACAAATTGTATGTACTACACACAATACGAATTGAAAATCATTTGTTTCTCCTTAGCTCCTTTGTAATTGTAGGATATTGATATGGAAGTACACAGAGTTGTTAGTCAATCAGTTTAATACAGGGGTGTCAAACTCATTTTGGTTCGGCGGCCACATACAGCCTGATGAGATATGAAGTGGGTCGGACCAGTGCAATCATAATATAATGAAATATATAACAAAACAGCACTATCATGAAGTGTTTGTGCTTTTTCTTCCCCCCCCCCCACTTTCAACATTCATCAAGCAGGCCATATTGAACTCCCTAATGGGCCGTTTTTGGCCCATGGCCCATATGTTTGACACCCCTGTTTTAATATAAACTGTATGGACAGCAGACAATATTAGAATTAGAATATTTTAATAGAAAATTTTAATTAAAGTTAAGAAAGTATATAAGAGGTAACTATTCAATGTATTTAATGTAGGCATATATTCAGTCAGTTGAATATTAATAAATGATGCTTCAAGTGCAGATTAACAACGCTGTGTTCTCATATGTCAATCTTCTATAACGGGTTGGAAAAAAAGGCCAAAACCATCTCATGTTTGTAAAGCTAAAGATGCTTAAAGTTTTAGCTTTACGCTAAGTTCTTCACTTCCGTTGCTGCTTCCTCGTCCGGTTGTAGAGTTGAGGTGGAGTCGCTGTCATTAACTCCCCAGAAATCACCGCTGAATATCACTGTCTCATCTTTTTAGGTGTTGCTCTTCCAAAATCTTACTTTTCCCGAGGGATGGTTTCCTCTTCCTCGTCCTCTTCAGCTACACAGCCGTCCAGTTTCCCTGCACAAATACACGTCTGACGTCAACATGACTGATGAAAAACATTTTAAAATACACCCAAAGAACTGTGCAAAGGCTAAAGGATGTTTTGTGCTGTTACCTTTTTAAAAAATCATTGATGAAGGCCAGGTAATATAATGTATGGTTGTAATATCCCGTGGCTCTACGGCAGACATGGGCAAACTGGGGGTATGGTTGTAATATCCCGTGGCTCTACTGCAGACATGGGCAAACTCTGGCCTGGGGGGTGAATACGGCCCGTTTGCCTTTTTAATCCGGCCCGCCAAACATGTCCAAATCATATTAATTATTAATAATTATACTTCTGCCTTGTTCTCTGCAATACCTCGATATTTCCAATAGATGTCGTAGGAAACACTCCCATCCCCTCCGACAAATATAAGGACCCATTGTAGGCTGCAAGTCAAAAAGTCATCCAGTCATCTCCTTTCATATTCAGATCAGTCGGTCGCCTTCTAAGGGTAGCAATTTTTGACACTGATGTCATAGTTGCAGGAGTGAGGAGACGCATCTCCCTTTTCTGTCGCCAGTCAGGATGGAGACAGCCGAGTTCTGCCTGCCGACAAGAGGTCATTGAAATGACCGTTCTGTTCTCTCTTTTACAGGTGGCAGGGAGTTGCAGATGCCTAGATGAAGTCAAGCCCGGCTGAAGATTGATGGTCCATGTAAGTGTTTCCTTCCGATTTTCCTGAAGTAATTGAACTATCTATCACACCACCATCTCTCCTCCACCGCTCGTCCACTCTGATTACACTGAAGTTGGTTAGCACCACGTTAGCATCTGGTATCTTTGTAGCAGCTTTGTAACCACCGGAGGCTTGTCACTAAGCCTTTAGCTTGGATATCACGTGTCCCAGGTCTATGAAAAAAAAAACACCCACGCCTTGAAGCCCCAATTCCTCCTTAGCTCCTCCTCCAGATAGATATGGAACAACAACCTTGTGGGGTCACCTGAAATGTTTAGTAATGAGAAGCTGAAACTGAAGCACTTTAATACTTCCCTAATCTTCACTGTGGCCAGTTTTAGACACTGCAGATTGTTCAGTGTTAATTGTCAGCCTTGTAAAGACCAGCTAGCCTAACGGGTACATCTGATCGGGGGATATAAAATGTCTTGCTTCTGTATTTACGAGACCGTATAACAAACTGGATGACTTTAGAGAAAGAAAAAGAAAAAAAGTCTCCGGGTCGCCAGAGATTTGTGCTGCCAAAATAGTCTGCTGCCCTTGCGCTGAGGTCAAATAACTTTGACATTCAGGAAATCCCGTGACTCACAATTTTATTAACAGCCATTTGTATACAAACGTAACCTCGTTGACTTTACATGCTGTGCGGTGTTTCCAGGTGAAATGCTGCAGAGGTTTGAGCTAAAACGTACAGTATGTGTCTGCATTAGTGAACAGAGTTGAGGGAAGCGAAATCACACACACACACACACACACAGAGTGAGTGTTAAACAGAGTGTTAATGAGATCAAGTAAACAGCAGAGCGAGAGAGAAGGGGACGAAACAAGTAGTGTAGGCTATCGAGAGATGGAGTCCGGACTGGACGCGTCCTTTTTGAGGTCACATGCCAGGTCTGAGAAATTACAGGAGAGACGGGAGGAGAGGGAGGAGGACAGGAAGTTAGAAGGTGAGGGAGAGATGGAAGCGTTAGTGCTGTTAGTTTTCAAACAGGTTTAAACAACAGACAACAGAGAAGTCAATTATTGGTTGTTAAAGTATTTACAGAAAAGAAAAGGCTTCAGTTGGTCAGTTAAAAATAAAATCAATATTTGTACTTGTTGTTTGCAATAATACTATATATATATATACTGTACATACACAGTGGTGCCTCTCTTATCGCGGTAGTTCCAAGACCGCGGAAAAGGGAAAAACGGCGATATAGTTATTATATTATTTACATATATATTTACCCTTTAAGAACCAACCCCCCCGCACACACACACACAAACACACACACACTGTTATCAACCCTCCCTAGACTGTATTACCCTTTCCCACACAATTATATACACAGTGGAGTTGTATAATGGAAATATGGGACAGACATATTACGTAAATAAATTAAATACATGACCATGCAAAACCATGTGAAATACACTCTAATTATAAATTAAAATCCAATGTAAATGCTCATTGTGGGGGCGCAGCGGAGGTTACCGGAAGTGGCGACGCAGCCTGTGACGCAGGTGAGCGCAATTGGGGTAATCAAGACTTTCTGGCTCGTCCGTCATGGCGCAAAGGCTGTTAACTGTCATCTATGTCAGCGTCTTCGTTTGGGCTGTCATAACAGAAGCCTGAAAAGATGCCGAGTGTTTAGGAGGCATCGTAAATTAGGCGTTAAATTAGGGTAAACTTTCACCAAACGCAAGAGACACAAACTTATTTAACGTCGCAGACCAAAGGGAACGAGCGACGGACAGAAGGGGAGATACTACGAGGTAAACAAAGCTACCAGGGATGTCTTTTTGTTTATTTTATTTTTGCTATATTTATAATGTTTAATTTTTACACGAAAGTAATGAAAATATTGTGCATTAAAACAAATAATTACCGTAAAGTACCGCGATATAATCTCGCGCAATTGGACCCGAGGGAGGAAAGGAGAACCGTGATGTTGAGAGG